CTTGGTGGTATTGACCATTTTGTTGCAATGGACCTCCTTCCATATCGCATGACTGCTTGCAGTTGCAGGAAATCAGGTAAACCTTCTCTACCGGACACTTAGGACACACGAGAGAATATTATATTCGTATACTTAATTATAAAATTTTTTTGACATAATGCTTCTTGTTGTAGGTCTGAAGTGTAATGAACTCTGCGTGCAGTGTCATGGAGCATCGTGCCTAAATGCGACGTCGTCTCTTCAGGGTACCCATGCATCAGGTAAAGCGGAAGACGAGAACTACGAGTCGGTAATCTCAGACGACCCACTACCACTAGAGGACGTCGAAGAGCCTGAAGAAGTGGAATCTGCATCTAGTCTATAACTTTTGATTGAGAAGTCTGATCGAAAAAGTACGAATTGATTTGGATTCTACGCACCCAAATTAATAAGAAAAAGTGTTTTCCCGAGAAATTTTGGTGTAGTCGATTTTTGGTAAAAAAGGAAGGTTATACACTGCCTTTTTTTGAGCCCCGAAAAAAAAATTGTCTCAGATCGACCCGGAAAAAATTTTCTTATAGAATGTGGCCTGTAGAATCCATAATTTCAAACAGTTCCAAGATTGGGCTACTAGTTCAAAAGTTACAGCCCTTTGAATTTTTTTTCAAAATGGTTTCTACTCTATAACTTTTGATTGAGAAGTCTGATCGAAAAAGTACGAATTGATTTGGATTCTACGCACACAAATTAATAAGAAAAAGTGTTTTCCTGAGAAATTTTGGTGTAGTCGATTTTTGGTAAAAAAGTAAGGTTATACACTGCCTTTTTTTGAGCCCCGAAAAAGAAATTGTCTCAGATCGACCCGGAAAAAAATTTTCTTATAGAATGTGGCCTGTAGAATCCATAATTTCAAACAGTTCTAAGATTGGGCTACTAGTTCAAAAGTTACAGCCCTTTGAATTTTTTTTCAAATTGGTTTCTAGTCTATAATTTTTGATTAAGAAGTCTGATCGAAAAAGTACGAATTGATTTGGATAAGTATAAGGATAATGATTACGTTGAGGTATAAATGAATGTGTGAATATTTTAATATGACAATACTGTTTTTACGTGAATAAATGGTGCATAGAAATACTTTGTTTTACAATGAATATTTACCTATCTCGTATGAAATTGCACGAAGAGCATTTTCAGCTAAACATATTTCATCTAGCCCTGACGGTCGCGATATTTTTGCAAAAAACCGCAAAAAGAACACGGAAATGATGATTTTCGCCTCCTTTTATGAATTTTGGCTAAGAGGTACACCTAGGCTAACTTCTGAGTATCTACCTTGTAACAAATTTCACGAGGAGCATTTTCAGCTAAAAATATTTCATCTAGCCCTAAAGGTCGCGATATATTTGCAAAAAGCCACGAAAATTGATGATTTTCGCCGCTTTTTTTTCATTCATTCATTCAGTTTTATTTAATTCCTTCGACAAATAACATTTGTATGGAACAAGTCAATATAACATTAATTAAACAAACAAACAGTTAAACAAACAAACAATTAAATATTGGAAGATATAAAAAATTCTTGTATGTTGTAGAAACACCCATTGACTAGATACTCGTACAATTTCTTTTTAAATTTTTTCCATGTAAGGCAAGGTCTTATATTATGAGGTAAATGGTTGAAAATTTTAATTCCTGAAACTAGTGGGGAACTTTGTCCTATTTTTGATCTGGCCAATTCTGTCCTGAACTGATCATTGTTGCGTAAATTATAAGAGTGCACATCTCTATTTGTTTTTAATTTCTGCTGACTATTAAAAATAAGTTTACTTATTTCAAATATATACATGCCGGTTACGGTAAGGAGGTTAAGTTCCCTGAAGATCTCCCTGCAGGTATGAAATTTGGATACATTCCTAATTGTTCTCAGAATTTGTTTCTGAGATACAAATACGTGTTTTGACTTAATGGATATTCCCCATAGACATATACCATACCTAATTACAGACGCAACCAACACATGATATATGTTTATTAACTGTGGCAACATCATAACCGTCCGTAAGTTCCTGACCATAAAGTTTAGTTTGGAAAGTTTATCAATGACCTTAGTACAGTGCAATTTCCAGTTTAGATGTTCATCTATTATAATTCCTAGAAACTTAGTAGAAGTTACTTTTTGGATCGCCTTACCGTCGATTAATACATTTACAGTTTGAGGTTCACTATTGTAATTGTATGAAATCTAATGTAGCTTGTTTTGTTTCCATTTAGAGTTAAAGAGTTCCTGTTGAACCACTGATGAAGTTTACGTAGATTTACATCGGATATTGCTTGAAGAGAGTTATGATCTTTATCTGAGATTAATAAGGAGGTGTCATCCGCATAAAGCACACCACCAATTATGATGAATTTCCTAGGCCAAGAGGTACACCTAGGCTAACTTCTGAGTATCTACCTTGTATGAAATTTCCCGAGAAATATTTTCAGCTAAAAATATTTCATATAGACCTCATAGATCGCGAAATATCAGCCAAAAAGAGCGAAAACACGGTTTTTTGGGGATGGTGGGGTGGCTGGAGCCTTTAGCACAGGGTCTGGAGGGTGGGATTTTTAATATGTTGTTTTTGACACCTAACTGAACATATTCCACCATTTTTTTCTTTTCCACCTCAAAATGTCCAGTTTGCCAAGAATTATAAAAGAAGCCGTTTTTTTAGAGGTTTGGGCAGTTTTTGGGCTGTTTTTTTTGCCTCGTTTATCTACGTAGCTGAAAAACAATAGCGACCTTTCTTATATCCTTAAAAACAGCTGTTTCAATTTTCGAACTTTTCTATAAAAACTTATTCATTTATGAGTTATCGTGCACACGGTCAGACGAACAGACAGACGGAGAGACAGACAGCAATACAAAATTATAAACAATCTCGAGGATCGTTAATAATGAGAAATACAACTGAAAATGAACTAATTCGTACATTATTAGATAAAGAAAAAAATCTTCTTTCGATTGGTGTCATTATAAAGCCGCTTATACCTACATTATCATGGGGGAGCAACGATCTGGAAAAAACCTTTTTCCCATGTTATTTGTGTATGTTCGTTTTTGAAATATTTTTACTTTATGCCCGTGTATATAATAATTTTGAGGTACTTTTAGCAGAGTACTGCATCAGCAGCTGCGCTCAGAAAATCGTACCTTCCAGCGTGTCTACCGAGATCTTAGCAACATCACGCGATCGGTAGACCAATTTCTTTTGGTTTCTTATGACATCAACTTCTTCCAACAAAAATTTCATCTTTGTAGAAATAAGTTCAATTGCATCATTTTTTATGCATCTTGCGTGGGTAGACTTGTGATGGCAACGCTTCCAGGGCGGTAGACTATTACCATTCTTCATTTTTAGGTATAATTAATTACTGGAAAAAATTTCATCCTTGTAGAAATGAGGCATGTACATAGTATTTATTAACATGTTCAGCACATTGTTGCAAACTTAAGCAACACCGCCGACGTGGTAGACTACCGTTTTGTTTACTTGTACTATCAAAACAATAAAATGGCAGAATATCAGCTTTTAGGAAATGAGTGCACAAAAAATGTCGCTGCCTCCTGGACTATTAACCTGATGAGCACAAAATTATGAGGTACTTGAAAATTCCTTTCAAGTCGACACTCCAACTTCACGGACCCGACATTAAGGAAGTCAATTAAAACACTAGCTATAGATAGTTTTGACTTTTTGGTCTCTTAGGTCACCACTCAACAAATGAAAGGTCACATTTTTTCCAAGACCAAAAATCAGTCAAAAAGGATAAGGTTTCATTTAAAAAAATGGGTTTCAGCTTTTTATATCCCTGATTCAAGGGTAATTCCTTCCAATCACTACGTACCCTATTTTCTGGCCTTTTGCCTCCGCAATCGTATCTAGTAATATCCACTTGAATCATCTATTTAGCATGTCATTTATGTATCCAATGCTGATTATAACAATGATATTACAAAAAGCGCAAACCTTGAACCTCAACATGAATTTATTTAAATAATCAATTCATCGAGTTCAATAAACACCTTACATCTCCATTTTGGATTCAATATCAAATTGATGATGTACCTAAACATATTCATTACATTGCAGGTGCATGTGCAAGGTTTCGCAATAATTCGTTTACCACTTGTACAGGACATAAATTGTCACTAATTAAGTGAGAAGCTGCGAAACGTCTTAGCCGATACCGAACCACCAATGTGCTGTATTATCAAACTTGGAGTAGAAAGCAAAGAACTACACAGAAGGGAACAGAAAAGGGAAACGTGAAATATCAATCGCTTTTGAGTATACCTACTACGACCTGCATTTTTTTATAGATCTGCACCATTTAGGGTTTGAAATGATTCTGCTTACTGAACTAGATGCTCTTTAACATTTACTATTCATATTCAAAAAGTCGAAGAACCCGTTGCCCCCACTTTCATACAGCAAACAATAAATTGTTTATATAGGTAATGTGCATCACATCGTAAAAGGTCTTCACAGTTGCATCTTTCGCAAGTATGTGACATGTGTTAGCATTGTTTGCAAAATAAAGAGCATTATTATTATTATTATATTATTAATAGGAGGCAGACTACTAACTCAAACGCAAACCATCTACTATATGACCAAGGGAGGATGCCCAACATAACAATATCAGTTCATGCTTTGTGAGTTTTTCTTTGAAAATTGAATAAACGACAGTCGAATAAAAAAAAGCTTTCACCTTCTTAGAGGCTTGCTAAATTTCTCATAAGTAGTTAGTAGATCCTTATATTTGTTCGTAATCAAACGCGAAGAGTGAAAGCTTTAAGTAAACTGTGACTACCTGCTATAAGTACACTTCGTTACCATCCTCTTGTAAACATTCAGCTCATAAAGGATATGAGAACCACATTTCAAGTAGGAAGTAGTTTGATTGTATTTAAAATGTATGAATATTCAGTAAGGGGTACCTATAAGGCTACACCTCCTTGCATTTAATTTAAGAGATTTTCAAAGTATACCGCAGTGGTTCGAATCGCGGCGGTCTCTTGACATCTTTCTTGAGAAACTTCACCAAACATTAAGCAATATGCCACCAAACAGTACGGATGAATCCAATGGAAACTTAAAAGTGTCGGAAAGAAAGGAATATCACCGGGAATATTCAAAAAAAGACGCGGAGTGGGTCAATTACGCCAAGAAATGGGACGAAATTAAGCATTTTGTATCACAACTAAAATGGTTCAACATAATACTTCTAACAACCCTTCACCTGGCTTTTGTATGGGCAGCGATCGCATTCCCATGGTTGCAACGGAAGAGACTTGTATTATGGAGTAAGTCTTACTAGTATTTTATTATACGCAAACTATAGTTTTAAATGGTGCTTTCTCCGTACATCAGCAATTAAAGTGAAGTTTAGGCGACTGGTGCAAATTATTTAAAATTTCATCCTCAAAAATCTTTTCCCAATAGTTTTGCCCATGTATTTTCTGATTCTTTCATTTTTCGTCGTTCTGCATAATTAAAATAGCATAAGCAGCGGTTCATGTTAATGTAAGTGAAACATAAACACCTTTGATATAAAGACGGAAATTATATGAGGGTGTTTTTATCAACTCTATTGAAAAAATAATGTACCTTTTATTAACGTTTCCTGGAAATGTAATCCTGCTCAATTTAAAATAAAGATCTAAGCCTAAGCGAACAAAATCAGCGTATTATTGATTGAAGGTAGAATTATTTTTTCGCGAATATAGACAAGATGTTTCTATTGTTAGCAATGCAACCACCATCATCAAAGTAGTCTCTTATCTTGAGTGCCAAAAACTTCGGTTCAAGAAGAAATCGGGTGAATAAAAAAAGGGTATAAGCGAAACCTGACATTCTCGCCCTTGCACTCCATAAAACGTCCTTTAAAATATAATCTCATGTGGAAAGAATTTAAAAAAATATATTTTCGAGGCACATTCATAGGTGTGCGCTTATTTTATGCTAATATCTCCGCCGTTGCCCGAGTTTAGTGCGCCTTCCGTTTCAACAAAAATCAAAATGTTCAGTTGGGGGTCTATTTCAATAAATAAAAAAAAATAAATAAATAAATAAAAGATACGATTATGGTCAAATTAGGGAACAGTTGCACAATTAAACAGTTATTATCATGCGATAGAGAAAACCAGAAAATTGCGATTACTTTCGAAGATATGCCAGAAAAACCAAGATTTTCCGATTTTGTTTTTATTCTTTCCTGATATTTGAGCAGTTACAGAAAATGAAAGCACTTTCTCATTGCCACTATTTCGTTTCTGAGAAATCATCATCAACTTTAGTTTCTTATATGGGCCGTAAAAAAAGTACATACTGTATTGATAGCATGTTTTATTGCAACACAACCATGTACGGCACACACAAAAAAGTTATAAACTGTTAGTTTCAACAGGACGGTGCGCCCGCGCACAACGTCAAAGTCGTGCGAGAATACGTAACAAATTATCCATTTTCCCGGCTGGAAAAGCTAAAGCCAAATGACACCGTGTATTTAGGTGTCTAGAGCCCAATTTTAAAGTTAAAATCACTGGCGCCAACAGAATTCAGCCATCATTAATTGTTTAGCCGCTAGAGGTTACTCGAATTTATACTTAATTTATACTTTCTTATCATTAAAGATAATTCAGTTTGGCAAAATCTTTCTTAGTGCACTTTCTTATGCAGAATCCATTGCGATACACAGTGTTTATGCAGAGTGTTTGGTTTGGTTATACGACCATAAACTATATTTTTCCGTATGGAACACCCTATATATTGTGGAGTTTTTGAAGAGCGTAAAAGTTCCTAAATTAATTAATATAGGGTAGTCTATATGAGAAAAACCCCGTATAAAAACTGCTATTTTACCAAAACCAATTGTCTTTAATAACGGGCGATCAAAAATGAGTTGCTGTCGAGTCGCCTTTGGAAGTTCAAGTTAAGTACGATTTTCCATGTAAACAAAAATTCCAAAGGTGACTCGACAGCAACACATTTTTGATCGCATAGTAGTAAGAAAGTTATGGCCTTATGGCATTAAGGAAATAGACCAAATTCGAGAAACGCCCTCTAGCGGTCAAACTGTTAGTGATTAGTGAATTCTGTTTGCGCCAGTGATTTTCTCTTTAAAATTGAGCTCCAGACGCCTAGGTCCATTTTTTTCTACCATACGATCAAAAATGAGTTGCTGTCTAGTTACCTTTGGAATTTTTGTTTACATGGGAGATCGTACTTAACTTGAACTTCCAAAGGCGGCTCGACAGCAACTCATTTTTGATCGCCCGTTATCTCTTAAAATAAAGGGTGTTTCCATAAAAAAGTGTCCAGTTTACAATGGCAGAAGTAATCAAGTGGAAATAGACGAGTTGTTCCATCCATAAATTTGTGTCACTGTTACTTACAAAGTTAAGTTGTTTTTGGTTGCATTGTACCTATTATCAAGCATGGCGCTGAACCAAATGCTTCTTCGATTTTTAGTAAAGGGGGGCTTGACGTTCAGTTAAGTGTCTACATAGCGATCAAAAATGACTGACCCTCGAGTCACTTTTGGAATTTTTGTTTACATGGAAAATCGTACTTAAATCGAATTTCAAAAGGCGACTCGACAGTCACTCGTTTTTGATCGCCTGATATACAGACTGTTTCACGCAAACCGATACCTAAAAATATTCAGGCTTTCATTGGTAAATTAAATCTGAAAATTTGCGTACCAATATAGTTTTTCTTGAAACTATCGAAAGAAAATATTATCATTTCACTTCCGGTTCTACCGGATGTTCATAGCAACTTTCTTATTTTAAATAGAGCACCCTGTATTTTATGGCATTTGCATGAATATCTACGTCGTTTGATACCACATTTCCCTATACCCATCTGTTATGCACAATTTAGGAGGCCTTGAAATAAATGCGTTAGTAGATGTTATTGTAACTCTAGTTGACAAATTACACGAAGAAAACATCCGCTTTCAACATAACGGAGCACCAGCTCATTCTATCCATGATACTTATAATATGGGGTATGGGTTGGACAGACGTCATTAGGATAGTGTGCATTGTCGGGATTATCGACGCCGGGAAAGTAATAGTCGCCGGGATAGGTCGTCGCCGGGTATAAATCGCCGGGATGACCGATGCCGGGATAGTAATGGTCGTCGGGATGGGTTGTCGCCGGGAAAACGGTGCCGAGGTGTACGTCGCCAGGATGGGATGCACCGAGGGAAATGTGGTATCAATCGACGTAGATGTTCATCTAGATTTTGAAAGCGAAATTAGAATACAGGGTATTCCATTTAAAATAAGAAACTTGCTATCGACAGTATTCGATCAGTAGTTCCAGAGAAAACTCGATTTAAATGGATTTGCAGAACCGTTTTAAATGTTTATTAAGTAGGCGTTGAAGAAATAATTGAGAGCTTATTTCAGATAACAACATCTAACATAAGTGCAATAAGTGCACAAGCAATGAAGCGAATTTGTGAGTGTGTTAAATTAACTTGTTTAATTTTGTGGCAAATTCAAGTTAAAAAGTAATCGTAAACGATTTACATAAAGCGCATTTCCACTTGCATTCATTTCCCATTTGTAAGATGCAACTTCTGTTAAAATCGTAAAAATCCGGCCACAAATATGAAAGATAGCGTTGCACATGGGCAATCCATTTTTGACGTGCTACTTCAATTTCAGTTTATAAGAAGAATTTCATTTCAATGCTTTCCTAAATAAGAAAGTTGGAACTGCGCATGCGCAAACCTAAATTTTGAAACTAATGTAAGATTTTCCTTTGATCCAAGCGCCTAAATATCAAATTTCACTTAAATGCTTCCATAGATAAAAAAGTTGGCACTGCGCATGCGCAAAACCAAATTTTGAAACTGGCGTTTGATAAAAAACGGTTTTTTGTTTTTTTTACAATAACTTTTTTGTAAGCGGTACAGAAAAAATTCCTTCCTTGGTGCAAGACTCGACACCATAACGAACCAAATAGCGAAAAAAGTAGAACAATAGCTCTTAAGATAAAGAACTACTATAGCAGCGTCGCAAAACGAGAGGATGGACGGACAGACGGACGGACAAAGTGGCCACAATAGCGCATTTTTTTTTATTTTCGTGGAAATGCGTTAAAAACAATTACAGTTTACACTATAGCGCACAGGGTGGAACTTTTTTTAAATGGCGATTCTGCCTTCACAAATTCGATTCCTTGCACTTATTGCACTTATGTCAGATGTTCTTTTCTGACACAAGCTCTCAATTATTTCAACTTCAACGCCTACTTAATAAACATTTATAACGGCTCTGCAAATCCATTTAAATCGAGTTTTCTCTGGAACTACTGATCGGGTTTGAAAAATAAAAACAGTTCTGAAAACATAACAAAACCCCTTCCCATTTAAAATTTTTGGTGCGCAATTCACCCCCTTCTCAGGGGTGAAGTTATGTAAATAGTATTACATGTTACCTAATTTAGGTGTCCCTCTCAAAACTAAAATTGACGTGTTCGAGCGTTTCTTGCAAAACTGTCGTTACGTGGGCAAAATTGGCATTGACTCTTTTCAGTGGGCCACCCTGTATTATTAATGAAAGCCTGAATAGTTGTAGGTAACAGTTTGCGTGAAACAGTCTGTATATCCACTTTAGAAAAAACTATAAACCAGAAAGTTGTAGGTAATTAACTACTTTATAAGAAAAAATAAAAAAAATTTGTTGTATGGCTTAGGTACTTTTTCAGTAATAACTAAAAAAACGACGGTTACGATAAGAAAAACACGCAAGTTATAGTAGTTACGCAGAGAAAGAGAACAACATCAATCAAAACCGACAATTTTTACTTTTCCCACAAACTATTGTTCTTTATTTGACGTATAAAAATTTACGGTTTTGCCCATTACTTTGAATCATCAAATATTCTTATTCTGTCTGTCCGTCTGGGGTTCAAAATGCTAAGTGTGTTATTGGTGTGGTGATTTTCATTAAAGCGATAGATCGAAAGATCTAAAAGTGGGATGAAATTTTGTCTACGTTCATATTTGTACCATATCACTGTTCACTTGATTTGAACGTTATCCAATTATACGTAAAATCAATAAAAATGTTTACTCAAAATCGTCCTAAAACCTTCATTTTCATGCTTACTTTCTGTCAGGAAATGTTAGTTTGCATGACACAGGCAGAGCAGGCTACGTTTCCTGCAGCTTGTCCCGCAGCTGTCACTTTACCGACCGCACTTGGGACATTTCCAAATGTCTATAATGACTCCTGTCATCACTGACAGATTGACATTAATCAACGGTTCTATATAAAAATTGAAATTTTATATTAAAATCAGACTTCGGGTAAAATTTTATACAAAACTCGTCACTAAAATGACACTACTTGACTCGGAAATTAAAGTACTCGGCCACGTCCTTCAATATTTCCTCGCCAGTAATCTAACATGTTCCTGACTTTTATGTCAATAACTATTACTGTATTATATTAAAGAAAGGTTTACATTTCAGATTTCGTCTTTTCTCATCTAACTGGATTTGGCATAGGAGCAGGTGCCCATAGATTATGGTGTCATCGCACTTACAAAGCGAAATTGCCCCTACGCGTCTTTTTAATGTTATGCTACGCAACCGCCGGTCACGTGGGTATTTCTAACTTTATACAGTGAAATAACAATACCGAAATTTTTAGAATCCTTTGTTCTACTGGGTTCGCGACCATAGGGTTCACCACAAGTTCACCGACACAGATGCGGATCCGCATAATTCGAAACGTGGATTTTTCTTCTCTCACGTCGGATGGCTGTTTATGAAGAAGCATCCAGACGTCAAGAGGAAAGGAAAAGAAATTGACATGAGCGACTTATGGGAGGATCCAGTAATACGGTTTCATCAGAAGTAATACTAAGAAATAACGAGACGATTGCAGATAACTCCGTTCTTTTTCTAGATACTTCATCCCATTAACACTAACTTTGGGCTTTATCCTTCCAGCGATTGTACCACCGCTGGTTTGGGGGCAAGATTGGTTCTGGTCCATCATATCGAGCGCAGTAGGTCGTTACGTCTTTGTGCTTAACATTACATGGTTGGTGAACAGTGCTGCCCATATGTGGGGAACGAAACCCTTCGACAAGTAAGATGCGATTTATTGCAAATTATAGCTAACCAAGAATGTTTCAGTTCAATTTCACCTACCGACAATAAGACAGTCTCGATGTTATCCTTTGGAGAAGGGTGGCACAACTACCATCACACCTTTCCATGGGATTACAAGGCGGCGGAGTTAAAATACGCTGGATACAATGTAAGTTCGGTTTTTATAGAGTTTTGTGGAAAGATGGGATGGGCTTACGATTTAAAGTCGGCCTCGCCGGAATTAATTAAAAAAGTCGTGGTAAAAGGAGGCGATGGTAGTCATCTAGTATGGGGCGAAGAAGTTCCTGAGTCCGAGGAGGACGAAATTCGCAAGGCAACCAAGCAGCAATGACCTAAACATTGTCTATTTATATGTACCATAGATTGTAATATTAGAATTTCCACTGTTATTCCCTAGATAGTTATATTGATAATGATAACAATAGTAACGAACAAAATGTTCGATGAATAAAGTTGATGGAAAACGATGAATATGGTTGTCATTCAGGGGTGAGAACCGGCTAATCTTCCGTTATCACTTATTATTTATTTAACTGCTTGCCCAGAATCTGTGCAAATGCAAATAAGAACTTTTTTTGAACTATGCACCTAACACTTCTTTCATGTTTTAATTTGATTTTCTTTAACGGCACTGATTATTTGATTTAAAGTATACAATGGTTGTGTTCAGAATGGGGTTGCTATACGTACAATTTAAAACAGAGTTAATGCAAACATTTTAAGTCTTCTAGTAAAGAACATGCTTGATAGGTATAGAAATCTTCAATGATTGAAGAAAAAACACAGATACTAAGACATTTTATTTAACTCGATCAATGGTTTTTTAATCCCCTTAGTTGATATTCGGGTGAAGGTTAGTAAGGTCTAAGGCCCAAAAATTCAAGTTTCGTTCAGTATTTTTTATTCGGAAGACCAAATATTTCGGACGCAAAAAGGCTGACCTTTCATCACTGGACCCATTAAGAATAATTAACGATCAGACAATGGATAATTAACCTTATGAAAACTTGCAATTCTGTGTACTGCGGGTGTACAAAATGATGCTCGCCTCCATTCTTTGGCATTAAGTGGTATTCCATTATGCAACTGATGGAACGCTCGCAAAATTCAATAAGCCTGTACGTGTCCTGATCATCCGTACACTCAAGGGCTCAACTGACAGGTCAGTTGACGGATGGTACGCACGACGTGTGAGAAGGTAAGCTCAAACAATGACCTCTCATCAGGATTGATCATCAGGGCCGATCATCAGTCGTTTGTAAAACGGGCCTTAAACAATTTGTTGCATGACGTTAGAGATAAAGTACCTGAATGAAGTGAAACTGAAAAAAGCTGACAATATACAGGGTGAGTTTTTTTTTCATTTTAAGCATTAGGATCTCGGAAACCGTAAGACATAGAGATTCGGATAAATGAGGAAAGAGTTGTAGTTTTAAGAGCTTATTCAAGATATGCTTTTGTTTTTTTTTTTCAAAAATCCACAGTTTACTAGATATGAGCGAAATAGTATATTGAAAGACAAGTGTTACAATGCGACCTATTGTAATACGACTATCTTGTGGCACGAGTGGCGACACGAAGCGTAGCCACGAGTGTCCGCAAGATAGGAGTATTACAATAAAGCATTGTAACACGCGTTTTTCATACTATTTTTTCTATTTCGGTGCTTTAATTTAATTAAAAAAATCATTATCAGAAACTATAGGGAACATTAGAACTAACATGTTTTATGTTGGGAACACTTTTTATGCCTTTAAGTTTTAGGTTGGCAGCGTAGTAAGACTGACATTTCATTAATTTTATTGATACTATTTTATTCAATTTTATTCAACTTAATGTCGCTGCATCTTATATCAATGACGCATAGCCTGATCATGGGTAAATAACTCGAAATCGATCGCTTTATAGAAAAACAATAAAGACATTTGTGGTTCTTTTTTAATACTTCAAATATTCCAAAAATCTCAACGAACCAGAAAAATTGAGAACTTCATCACATATATCAAGAAACTAGAGTCACTAGATATTGTTTTCAATGGCCAACTCTGTTTACTTACCTCTCAATAATACGAAAATTACTGCAGGGCGTGTATTTAGTAAAGTACATTTAGCAAGCCTTATATCATTATAAAGAAAAAATGTCTCCTTTTTAAAAATGTCAAAGCCAAGCTACCATTTAAAAAAATTAAAGTTTGTATTATAACTCAAAAATTGTAAGATATAAAAATAAATTAGTATGTTCATCATGTGAAGCATTAAAATGTCTAAAACTTTTATTCGTGTCATTTTGTTGTATTTCTAATAATAACGACTCTACAACAGTTAAATGAAAAATCACTAAATCTGTTTTTCGCTCATATCTAGTGAACTGTGGATTTTTTTCAAAAAACAAAAGCATATGCTTTATATATGCTTTTCTTTTTGGATTCTCTGAAATTATTTTTATGTTATTTTATGATCATAGTTTACAAGTTATTTTATTCTCAGCTCCACTCAAATTTTAAAGACTGCTAGTAAATGTAATCCGTAATCTTTTTCAGCTTTATTCTTTATTATTATATTGTTTGTTTTTCTTATTATGAATGACTGGCTCCAATTCTCTTTTCGCGGGTATATATTATGCAATACATGAGGGAGGTCTCACCACGGACGTTGTCTATGGGACCCCTAATATTTTTCAATATGATTTATTTACAAGTTTAATTTTCTTTTTTTATTGTACTACATGTTATTATATTGAGAAATAAACATATATTATTATTATTATTATCTTAAATAAGCTCTTAAAACGACAACTCTTTCCTCATTTAACCGAATCCGTATGTCTTACGGTTACAGAGATCCCAGTGCTTAAAATGGAAAAAAATCTCACCCTGTATAAAATAATCAAATAAATGACTGAGTAGTATTTGATCAAAGTTAAATAGTAAAAGTCTTTGTACAAAGAAAAATTATTGAAGATGGCAAAGATGAAATTGAAAAAAAAGTGTCTTTTATGATTTATATTGTTTTATTGCTATTGTTTAGATTATTCTCAAGTACTGAGATTGTGTGAGTTCTACTTTTGTTTACCAAGCTGCAGCAATGCTTTAATTAATAAATTGTTAAAAAATAACAATAATAAAAATATGCAAAAATATATGCATTTCTTTATTTTGTCCCGATTTTACGTGACGGATCCGCCTTGTTTTCCCGCTTTATTATACCCATCACCCGATTATATCAAGGGTCCTATGGCAACCTTAGCCCAGAAGGAAACAAGTTTAAAAAGTCATTATGCAAACATAAATTACGAGAGCGTATTTTTCTTATAATAAAATTAATGCTAGGACCAAGAAAAATACCGGTAGGCACGAGATCCTTACCCCTAAAGTCACTAGATATAGAAAATACCGCAATCATCCGCCATTTTTGGGTAAATTTACTGCCAACTTAAAAAATTGACAAATAAAATCTGAATAGCTGTCATTTTTCATAACCTAGCTTCATAGTACTGTCATATTTTATAAAAATATATACAGATATGGAACAATCCCTAACATTAAAGTTACTAGAATCTGGTAACTTCCGCCATTTTTGGGCAAAAATCGTGCGTTCTCTCTCTAACACACGAGCTCAATGGATTGCGGTATTTTCTATATTTAGTGACTTTACTTACCCCATTCTCTTTCAAATGAGCCGACTATCGACGAAGTCTATACAGTTTAATGAAAAATAGTGGAGCGTACACAAATACATACAAATTTTGAAATGGGCATTAGTTTTACTTTTATAAATTTATAAATGCTTTTGTAAATAGCATTGCGCATTGTCTACATTAGAAATTTCATTGAATACCTTCATAGATAAAACATACAGCATGCGTTAACAGTAATTTTGAATCCGGTATTCATTTTAGTTTCATTCAAGGTCATTATGCGGGTCACTCTGTAATTGGGCGCATGCCTGTTGAGGGCCCAAAACAAGAGAGGTATAATAAAAAATAAATAAATAAAGGTGCCTACATAATATGTATCTTATTATGATATTTCGTTTAACTGCTTTCATAAATAAGAAAGTTGCGCAAAACCAAATTTTAAAACTGGTGTTAGATTTGTTTGTATTCTAAGTGCCTATGTATTAAATTTCATTTAAAACCCTCCATAAATAAAAAAGTGGGCATTGCGCATGCGGAAAACAACATTTCGAAAATGTCGTTAATTTTACTTATATTCGTAGTGTTTACATATAAAGTTTCATTTAAATATCTTCATAAATAAAAAAGTTATCGCACATGCGTTAAACCAAATTTTTGACACTGCGCATGCGTAAAACCAAAAAATAGCGGTATGCACGGAATCCTTGGACCAAGCCCTTTCAAATCGCCAAAATCGGTTCGGTGGTTTAGAAGGAGTACGTGTGACGGACAGACGGACGGACGGACGTCAAAGTGCAGCCAATAGCGATTTTTCACTTTGAGGAAAATACGCTAAAAATTGCGAAATTTAAACATATTGGCCTGTTCGGCGGTCTAGGACATTCTTGGCACCGGGACACTTTCGCAACGGGAACATTTTGAATAAGGAGATAATGTGTGAAGAAGAGGTACTTCTGGATGACCAATTAAGGATATTTGCTAAATTTTTCATTTTATTTACAACTATGTACTTATTCTGGTTCGTAATAAAATGTGAAAGAGTGAAAGCTTAAGTAAACTGCTGTAAGTACACTGTAAACATTCTGCTCATAAAGGATATGAGAATCACATTTCACTTAAAGTAGGAAGTAGTTTGATTGTATTTAAAATGTATGAATATTCAATAAGGGGTATCTAACACTGCACCTTACATTTTTCAAAGTATACCGGAGTGGTTCGAATCGCGGCGGTAGTGTTAAATATCTTGACATCTTTCTTGGGAAACCTAGTCAAACATTAAGGTAGCAGTCAGTATGCCACCAAACAGTACAGATGAATCCAATGGAAACTTAAAAGTGACGCAAACAACGGAATATTCTCGGGAATATTCAAAACAAGACGCGGAACCGGTCAATTACACCAAGAAATGGAACGAATTTAAGTATTTTATATCACAACTAAAATGGTTCAATATAATACTTCTAACAACCCTTCACCTGGCTTTTGTATGGGCAGTGATTGCATTCCCATGGTTACAACGGGGTAGACTGATATTATGGCGTAAGTCTTACTAGTATTTTATTGTACGTAAGCCATAGTGTTGGATGGCGCTTTCTCCTTAAATCGAGAATTAAGTTGGTGCAAATTATTTAAAATCTCTTCCTCATACATTTGTCCCGAATAGTTTTGGGCATTTTAATATAAAACAAGTTAAAAAGTAATCGTAAACGATTTACATAAAGCGCATTTCCACTTGCATTCATTTCCCATTTATAAGATGCAACTTCTGATAAAATCGTAAAAATCCGGCCACAAATATGAAAGATAGCGTTGCACATGGG